ATATATCTGTCTTGTGTACTTCAATTTTGAGTATCGAAGGCGTCACATCAAATCTACTCAAATTCCTCAATTTTTAGAGTATATAATTTAATTTTGGATATTCAGGTCATTACTCTTTTCCACAGATCTGTTGTTAGATAACTGAATAAATTTCACTTGACTACTCCATAGGATATTTTGACGTTTAAATCTCGATTCTGAATGTAATGGTATTATCACATTTATACTGACAAAATACGAAAAATAAGTCAAAAAATAGGTTGAAGATGATTATTACATTAAAAAGCATTCAGTGCAATCCCTACGGAATTAAAAATGTGAAACACGATGAAACTTGTTGTATTATAAATGAAGAGAGTGTCTGTCACGGTCTGTGATGGTATACCTCCTCGTCTTTCATGGCCTGGGACGATATATCCTGCTCCCCCTCTTGTGTCCTATGAAAATGTACTCGATGACCTTTGATCTTTGACCCTAGTTGCGACGATCTGTAATAGGGAGAGGCAAATGTCGATCCCGATCTGTGAGAGAAAGGAGGGCTGGGAATTGGGTACAAATTTTTACCTCTAATCACTTTAACACTTCTTTCAGATCGTGTTTCATAAAAGGACTCGAAAAATAAAAAGAATACTTTGATATAACATCAATTGGCCAAAATTATATAAATCAATATGCCTTTGTGTCGAACAATAAGAATTGACTCAATGAAAAGCTTGTAGGAGTTTATGATTTGATTTAACTTGCAGACTAATACTCTCTCGGTATACGTTTATACCCATATTATGAGAAATAATTTTGTCTTTTATTAGTTATCAATATTAATTATGCAACATCGTTTTTTGACATATAATTCTGTCTGGAAGTAAGAGAATAACAGTGAGAATGTACACGTATCCTCAATTAGAAATATTCTTTCCATTCTGATTTTTCAATAGTTTATAAATATTTCCATTGAAATAAAAAATATGAAATTGTTCTAAGTAGATATTAAAGTTTATCTCTTGAAACAGTTAGTTGAAATTATTTTATATATTATAATATGAATAATAAAGAGATTTTTTACATGGTCATTCACATATTAAATAATAGATCAAACAAAAAAGAGAAGAAAAAGATCATTCTATTCGCTGTATATTCATTCGTCGTCTATTTAGACAATAGAGAGAAATGCATCTTTAGTTTTCATTGACGATATCGGTCAAGTGGAACACATTTTAAGTTAAAAAGACAGAATACATCTAGGTGTAGACGACTATGGAATATTCATACGATCAATTGAGTCATTTACCGGATGAAATTCTTATGATTATTTTTAAAAAATTGCACAATATCTCACTATTTTACTCGTTAATTGGTGTTAACAGACGATTAAATAAAATAATACATGATTCTATTTTTACCAATCGTTTGACTTTTCTAAGATTTCTGCCAGTTCCTTTGACTGAGTTCAACGATTTACCAAACTATTTAGCTTATTCATTACCTGATCCAATAGTTAATCGATTTTGTTTTCAAATCTTACCTAAAATTCATAATAAAATCGAATGGCTTAATGTTGAACCATTTTCAATGAAACGTATTTTTCTTGCTACAAATTATCCCAATTTATCTGGACTTGGTTTATACAATATCCAAGTTGAACAGGCTATGCATCTTTTTTCTGGTAAGATATTTCACTTTGATTTTTTCATTGATAAATACATTAAAGTTATATGTCAAATGAATTTTGTTTTGAATCAACTTATAATGTCATTAATTAGATAATTATACTAATAACATTAAGAAATTTTTATTTTATTCATTTTTTTTTCATATCAATATGAGTGAGAAGAAAACTCATCAAAGAGATTGTTTCAAATAGAACATAAATGTTGATATATATAAGGAAATACTAAAATAAAAATTTTCATATTATTTTCAATTTAAACTTTAAAATAAATGTGTGATAAAGAAAATTTAGTAATAAATTTAAAAAAAAATCTTTTTATTGTTTAGATGAAACTCTTTTCAGTTGTACCTTGAAAAATCAAATTTTATCACTTGTTATCCATACGAATTCAAATGGAAACCAAATATCAAGACAAACTAACAATGTACTTTTATTTATCCATATCTTTACTACATTCACTAATTTACGAGTATTAAACTTTGATACATCTGAAAATATGTTTGAATGTTTATCCTTCTTTGAATTATCCATAACTGTTATCTCTTCAACTCTCTTAGAATTACATGTTTATTTAAAGAATTTTAATGATTGTCTTTATTTACTTGATGGACGTTTCAATCAGCTTCGTGTACTTCATGTTAATATTGATTGTATTATCATTTCGAATTTAACAATCAATAATAAGGTTGAACATTTTGATTAATATTTAATTTATTCAAACAAACTGATATTTGTTCTTTTTTTAGGAAAAATTACCTAATTTAAAATCCTTTTCCCTATATTGTAATCGCAGTACAAAATTTTATGACGAATCAATTTTACCACTTTTACATCGAATGTTAAATTTAGAAAATCTCCATTTGTCTGTTAAAGTTTATGGCAATAAAACATTTCATAATGGTAATGATTTGAAAATAAATATTATCAATCATATGCCACTATTAAATAAATTTACATTTAATATTTGTTCATTGAGTTCCTTTTATAGTAAAACTAATTTACCATCAAATGAAGATATTCAAAAGACATTTAAAGATTTTAAAGATAATCAAATTATTTCTTGTATTGATTATTTTCAAAAACGTAAACTTAGTCGATGCCATATTTATTCATATCCATATCAATTAAAATATTATGATAATATAACAAATAATTTTTCTGGTGAATTATGTAAGTGTGTTCGTGAAGTTAGATTATATGATGAACATCCTTTCGAACATGAATTTTTTCTTCGAATTGCTCAATCATTTCCATTATTAGAAAAATTAACTGTTATTAATCAACAACGACAAAATAATAAACGATTTAGAAAATCAAAAAATGAAAATGAAGATTTATTAATTGTTAAATATCCACATCTTATTCAACTTAATCTTAGTGAAGCTCACAAAGATTATCATGAACAATTTTTATTCGATACTAAAACATGTTTACTAAATGATGTTCGTATTCGTATCGACTATCGATTAGTAAAAAAAGTGACACGTAATTTCAGAAGAAATACAACTCGAAGTAATTGCGCGAAATTAAGTTATATAGTGTTTCGTAACAAATTAAAATTTCCTGAACATTTAAAAGACTATTTTCCTCATGCACATATATACTAATTATCATCATTTTATCATTTAAATAAAAAATAAATACTTATCATATTTTTACTATAGTTAGTATAAATATTTGAACATTTAAAGATAGAAGATAATATCATATGTAGCAATTTCTTGAGCAGTGGCGAGGCGTGGACAATTTCGTAACTAATTGGCTTCATGTTTATACAAAATCTAATATTTTATATAAGTGAATATTTGTTAAAAAGAGACTTTCAAGATAATTAATTAACACGTATTATGTTCGCTTTCGTAGTGCTATTTCATCTGTATATTTTTTAACTTGAAAACGGCTAATCATCTTGATAATAAAAATTCTACACATAAGTTTTTAGTCCAAACTGAAACGTCAACGATTCTTTTAAGCGAATAAATCCGAAATTGGCATGCTATCTATTTCCATACTTTCATTAATAAATCTTGTTAAAAGTCCGCAAATATTCAGTTACGCGGTAAATAAAGTTCCGATTCAGTTGATAGGATAGTGCAATAAACAAGCATTAAGTAAATTATTTAAATGAATTGTGAGAGTCTTTTATTAATTATATAATTCATCTAGTATTATTCGAAATGTTGACTAATAGCTATTGACGAGATAAAGAGTTTGTGTACGTAATTTTATCCATCATTTATGGACATTTTCTAGCAGCCTATGTTTTCTGTTTTGCGCATCGTCGACTTTTCTTTGCTTCTAGGCATGTTGAAAAAATAAATATTAATTGAGAGCAAATGTGCTATTTTTTTTGATCGTGTTTTCCGAGTCTTTGATTACTATATAGAGCTTCTCTTAGAAATTCGAACCATAGTTATAAGTACCATCTGTTTTCTCGATTTTTTTTGCTATTTGATAAATTGTATAAAATTGCATTTGTAACAAACGTTTCACTTTGAAGCTCAAAGTCATTGTAAAGTTATAGATTAAACAATCTTTCTGCTGGACTACAAAAAGTGTATAATAGAGTATTTCTTTATGATATGTAGTATACGTTTACAAAGCAGTTTTGTGAGGTCATTTTATTTTTATTTTTTAGAGATTCTTTATTTGTATATGCAGCAAAATTTTGGTACTTATTCACGCAACTGTAGCTGACGAGGGAACGTTTTCAACTGTCCGATTCCTTTTTTAGTTCGGACCTTGTGCATAAGATAGACAGCAGTGAGGTATGAAAAATCCCAAAAGATTAAATCCGCTTAGGCCTTCTATTCAGAGTTATAGCATTTTACTGGAATTATAGGGCGTGAGTGTGGGTGTGAATGCGAAAAGAGAAGAGCCACACCGACACCCTCAACAATAAAAATGGAGTTTCGGTAAAAATCATTCTCTGACAGATCCCTGAGGGGAACCCCAGGAGTACTTTCTATTGATTCTCTTATTTATGAAAATTCATTAGTAATTGACGCAGAATACTGAACTTTTTCATTTTTTTTCTTTATTGAAGATGAACTGAAAACCAGATGAATAATACAACGTGTCGTGCTTCTATTGAAGGTACATCATTTTTCGAATAATCATAGAAAAGTTTTAATGAATCTGAATAATAAGTAGTACTATAAATCATTTGTGGCCTTTTTTATTTTATTATAACTTAGATATAAATTAGTAAAAGATATATGCACTCAGTTAACATCGATTGTGCGATGCTTGACAGCCGATTTGATCCACTTGTCAGTTTTACAATTGATACAGTCAACGAATCAGTTTCTTTCTGACATCGTACATTTCAATGTCATCATGCTTGTAATTTCATTAATAGTATTTCTCATCATTCTTATTATAGTTTACATTTTGACCACAATAAGACACCAATCTTTCTATAGAGAATTCTGTGGTCACCGCTTCAGACCTTTGTTTTTTGGTCATTATTATTAAACTTCTTATTTGAGTTATGAATTTTATAGTTTAATTATCCGATTTCGCAATAGAAATAAGAAATAAAAAAAGAATAATTTTTGTTAGTTAAGGACATATTTCTGCCTTTCTTCATGTTATTGAGTTCTACGCAATAGAAAACAATAGTCGCAAATTCTCTTTCTTTTTTTCTATAATGGGCAAAGAAACTTCTTGAAATAAAACATACAAGTAAATAGAATCTAAATTTAATAATTATTTCAATGTTTTTTTTTGACGTCAATCAAACAACATTGAATTTCACGACCTGTAAATGGTGCTTGTTTATAAAAAATCAATGCTCGAGATACAACTCCATAAGCAGCTATTGCTATGAAAATCATATAGATAAAAGCAAACAAGTCTCGAAGCTAAAATTAATATTCATTTTTTTAAAATTTATTATTTATTATTAATAAAGGATGGAAATCATTAAGAGGACAAATCAATCCACTGCCAGAAGTCTATTTCCATCAAAATTAGATCATTTACGACATTTTATATTGCATCTGCGTTGTCCATCTTTTATCCACATAAAATGCCTGTACTACTATATACAAGTCTGTTGTTTTCCTTACATACTGATAAAATTTACGTTTCATTGGTAACTATAAGAGCATAATATAATGATTATTACTCTCTATACAACATATGTATCTAATCTGGATTATATTCCAATGAATGAATATGAAAATGATCTACCGAATGAAAAAATGAGAATACATTTTCTATTCGAAATAGAAGAAAAAAGAATTATTTTAGTGACATCACGCGTTGCATAAAAATAGCTCTTGTAACATTACTGTTTTAAAAACGAGCAACGTAACTATTCTGTAAGCTTTATACAGTTCATGGTTATTTTAGACGTCAATTGTAACAGAAAAAAAGTGTTATAAATTATTAGAAAGTTACGTTGTCCTTGAATTATACATGTGAATATGAAATGATTTACAATGCTAGTCTTCAATTTTGAAAATAAATTATTGCAATATTATGCTCTTATACAGACGCTTGTATCATTTTGATTTTACACTTCTAACAAAGGTATTATTTATTGAAGAATACGTAATGTATTTTATGCTATTCTGCATGGTATAGATGAAAGATCTGGAAGCAATATTTTTGCCTCAATAACTTACTATTTGGCACCAGATTTTATGAAAATGTTTCGTCCGAAACACTTAGATGCTCATTTCGTCATTGCAATATTTTAATCGTATTAAACTAATTTCAACGACATTTTCCGAACTATATCAAATACAGATTTGATTATTAACTTTCAAGAAAAGAAGAAAAATATGAGAATAGACATAAGACTCGAGATAGCAATTATTAGATTTGTAATTTATGATCATTTTCAACGAAATACATAGTCTCACGTTTTCTCATTTGCTATTATGCAATAATTTTATAAATTTCGTTGAAATTTATCTATAAATAAGTATTAATTAAATGTGATTATTGTTTTATCTAGGCAAAATGATAGTCTCTATGACTTTTTGTTTGGATATTTTAGTATCATCTGATAGATCTTATGATGATCTATTGATTGATATATTATCAAGAGTAAACTCCTACCATCAAGAGAGATTACTATGTGATGATCATCCTAAAAACTGCTATACTATATTTAATAGTAGTGAAATTTCAATTTGTTGTATGAATCGACTAAACATAAGAATGAATGAGTGAAAGAACAAGTATCAAAACATACTCTATTCTCGCATGTTTTAGGACATTTCATACGAACAAAAAATGAGCAAATAAATCGACTCAGATGCAATATATAGAATATCGTAAATAACCTAATTTCGGTGGAAATAGACTTTTAACATGGGGGGAGGGGGACGATTTGTTCTCTTAATGTCTCTCCTCCTTTGTTGACTAACCATGTTTTTTAACATAAATAATTTTGGTCCTAAAGATTTTAAAACTATAACAAACTCAAGTGATCGAAGATACCACAATTCAAGATCAAATGCCCAAATGATTCTAAAATATATTCGATTAATCATCAATATTTGTTCAAAATCTTGAACAAACCTTGCAGTAGAAAGTAAACTTTCATTGTAACTACCATATCGAAAATCAAGACCCATATAAAACAAAAAATATGGTAGAATATAAAATACATTCGATAAAAATGTTAAAGCCGTATGTAACGAAAATGGGTGCAACAGCTCTACCACTGGTTGGGCATTGAT